TATAAGTAATAATTCGAAGAAATGTGAAAATACTGAGAATGATTTGAGACAATTACCGGAAAATAGAGAATTAAAAAAAAGAACTTTGGCAATAAGTGAAGATTTAACCAAATAAATAAATATAAATAAGCATAATGTAATAATAAATAATTTTAAAAGCCAATAAACATTGAAAATTGAATATTAATAATTTATAATATGTAAATATAAATATATTTTATTATTATTAAAATAAATCAAAGATCTCTGAAGTTTAATATAATAATTTTCACTCTGGAATCTTTTAATGATGACGGAGATCCTTCAGAGATCTATCTTGAAGATCTTCAGAAATCTTTGCTAAAAAATTTTCTGATGTATTTGGAGTATTTATTAGAAGTTTAAGGGAAAGTCCCTTAAGAAGTCGTGTTCCACTTGGTCAAAGTGATCCTAGATTTGATAGTCAGTGTTAATTAGCAATCAAATTGGAGCATTCACTAGAAAGTACATACTTGTGTCAAAGATTTCAATTATTATATGTGACATATGTAAGGTGGAGGTATAATAGAATAGGTACTTATCTAGGTAGTTATAGAACTACAGAAGTTCTATGACAAGAATACCTTTCTAGGAAGAAAACTGACAAAAAAAAACATTCTCCAAAGACTCCCAAAAGATTTAAGAATCTAGAGAAACAAGAACGAAGAAGTTTTCAATCTTTCTATTATTTCTTTGGTTTTTCTCTTCTTTTTTCTCAAGCATGCTTTCTTTTTTCTGATTTTTCTGGAAAATTTTGCTTATCTCAGTTTGACCTTGAATTTTTGGTTACACCAGATCTCCTGAAAGATGATTAGTCAAGGCCACTAATTGATTAATTATGTCAGTCTCAGAAAAAGTAAACAAGACATATATTCCTCATATATTCCTAGTCACGCAACACCAAACCAATGATGTGATTGGTTCCTGAAAGAATTAAATGGTTTTTAGTTGAAAGAATAGTATGGGAGTATTAAGTGAAGTAGAAGTTGTGAGTAGAAGAGAAGCAATCTCTTTTTGTTCCCATTTTTTTATTTTATTTTTTTTTCCTATTCTTTCTTGAGGACAGAAAGTAGCAACAAGGTCTAAGTTCTATTTCAATCTGGTAACAAGTTGAAGTACCAATATTTATTTCAAAAATGGTTGGAGAAAAGGATCTTGAAACTATCCACCAGTTGAGTGAAACAATAATTTCAGAAGACATGGCTTGGAAAACAATTAACAATAGAAAATCAACATTTTTCTGGTTAGAAGTCTTCAAGTATAAAGTTTCAAAAAATATTCTCTTGGAAGTATCCTTAAATGTTCTTGAATATCAATTATTTCAATGAAAATTAAACAGTTTGATTGGCTACAGGTGGTGAGAAGTGGAAAACCATAAGAGGTTTGGGTTTTAAGTTCACTGAGATAACCTTTTCAATGATAATTAAAATAGATAATAGTTTTTTTTCTTTTCTCTTTGTCAAAAAATTCTTTTTTTTATTCCTTTTTTCCCTTGCGTAGTTTCTACAAGAGGGGGTGACACAATTTGGATTTATGGTTATAACTGTGGAGATGATCTGCAGATTTGAATTCTATTGGAAGTTCAGGATCTTAATCCTATTTTTTAGAAGAACAATATATTATTCCATAAATTGCATCTAGAGACTTCAGCTAAAAACAGATGAGTTGGGTCAAGAAAATTTGTACTTTGCATGTATTCTCGTGCATGTAATGGTTCTTTGTGATTTAATAAATAAATGATACCAATCTGATTGCAGGATTAAAAAAAAAAAAAATAAATAAATAAAATAAAAAAGAAGTAATATTAAAATAGTATCAATTTATAGTAAATTTAATATATGAATTATAATTTACTTATAAAATTTAAGTATTTGAAGTAATATTGTAAACGACTATTAATGTATTAGTAATGATGAAATACTCAATAAAGCCGCGTATTTATTGCTTGTTAAAAAAAATAATATCATTAGAAGTTCTAACTAAACTACAACAAATCACATGATCATATTATAATTTTGATAAGGCTATTATTACGTCAGTCGCGTTGCGCGTTATTTTTGAAATATTTCCTTTACTATGGATTTTACAGAGTCTTTTAAACAATCTTTAAACCTCTGTCGGTTTTCCCCAGATCTAAAATATTTAGCCATCGCCCTAGAAAATGCGGTGGTTGTTCGAGAAACAGAAACGTTTCAAGTATCGTTTGAATTTAAACAAACGAGTAATATTCAAAGTCTTGAATGGTCACCAGATTCAACTCTCGTGTTAGCTGCAAATTTTGCGAATGGAGAAATTGTCATTCGCGACGTAAACGATCCGACTTGGAAAAGAAACATCAGAGAAGGACCTGCAGGTTTAATGAATGTAAAGTGGAACCCCGACAGTCGAAGTGTAATGTGCTTTTCCGATTTTCAGGTAACTCTAGAACAATAACAGGATATCTTACTTAGGGTTATCAAAAGTAAAATCATTTGAATCGCTATAGCTTCGTATTACAATATGGTCGTTGATAACCAACAAAGGATATTACATACAAGATCCAAAATATCATAACAAAGGTAAGTCAATTTTCAGTTCAATCTTAAATTAATGACGCTTCTGAGTGGAGGTTACTATTTTAAAGGATTTTGTTTTCGAGAGGATCCGCCATGTTTCATATTAGCAGAACGTCGTGAATGTAAAGATTACATCGGTGTTTACAAATGTAACACCGACGACTGGAAATTAATAAACGTAAGATGACTAAGTAGTCAACAAGATTGTTCTTCAATACTTGATAATAATGTATATGCATTTTCAGGTATTTCAAGTTGACACAGTTGATCTGGATAATTTTGCGTTATCGCCTAATGGTCAGTATATTGTTGTGTGGGAGAATTGCATTTGGGTAAGTCGCGTCACCGCCAAATTCTTTTATATTTTCCATTGACTCATTATAAAACAGTATAAAATTATAATGTACACCCTTGATGGACAATGCGTGGGAAACTTTTCAATCGATAACGAAGGGCTTGGCGTTAAATCAATTGCTTGGTCGCCTTCAAGTAAATTGGTAGCAGTAGGGGGTTATGATCAAAAGGTAACAAATGAGAGACATAAGTATTAATTAATAATAATATATTAAAGTCTTTTATATAATCGTTTTAGATTCGTCTTTTCAATAATCATACTTGGACACCAATCAAAGAACTTATGCATTCAAGTCGAATCAAAGATACCCAAAATCTGGTATGTTAATCGATACACATTGATCAAAAGGATTCTTGATTAATATTATCGATTTAATTAATGTATTCTTAGAAAATATGGAAAGAAGCACGCGAATACAGTCCGGGACTTGGAAGATTCATAGTTAAATGTAGTGTTTTGCTTTTTTTTTTCTTTCATCAGCTAATTTAAGGTCAAGACAATAAACAATGGATTGCACAGATGATCTTATCGAAAAACCTATTGAGGTACCCCTAATGCAGCCATCGGAAATGAAGCCAAATCCTAAATCAGGAGTCGGAACTTGCAAATTTAACGCCAACGGAAGTTTGATAGTAACATTGAATGGTAAGCTTTAAATATTTTCGTTTTTTTTTTAGTGAAACTTCTCTACTAATAAAGTTTCTCGGCAATTATTAGATAACATGCCTAATTGTCTCTGGATATGGGACGTTAACCATCTAAATCTTATAGCCTTGATCATTCAATTGAATTCGGTTAAGAACTTCTATTGGAACCCTGTCGAGGCAGACAAATTAGTGATATGTTGTGGGAATGAATTTGTGTATTTTTGGTGTGGTCAAGATCAAGGAACAGAAATTATCGAAGTTCCATCCGGTAAGGATTTAAAATTTATTATTAAACTTGGTTATATGGTGAATCTTATATTATCTGCCTTAGTTAATTTTAAAGTTTACAATATGAGTTGGCGCTCGGACGGTAAGTCAATACTGATGATGGATAAAACGAGGTTTTGTGTTTCTTTTATTACTGATAGAGACAATAGTGAATTAAGCGAATAGCCCCGGAAAATGGTCAATCCTTTCAAATTTATTATTATATTAGATAAATTTTTAAATTTTTTATAAAGGAATTTATTTCTGTTCTAAGCCAGGAAGCAATTTGTATCATTTCAGGTGATTGTTTAATTAAATAGGTTCGAAATTGAGGATAGACTATTCATAAAATTTGCCTACTATAGCACCTTAGCTTTTTTCATTCGTCATTGTGCTTTTCTCTTTAGCAGAGGTCGAAAGTTTACGTGCTTTTCGCCTTTTTGATGCTTCAATAATCTCCCTGAAGTTATAATAAGAATTGTTAATGTCTTTTTTTTTTTAAAAATATATAGCAAATCTACTTACCTTTTTCTTTTTATCTTCTTTATGTCATAATATGAGCGTGTGTCAATAGTTTTACGTTTAATTGGCTTCTTACGTAATTGATGTTTTGATTCTTTCGTGGGATTTTTTAATTTCAGCATCCAATCAGGTACTTCGCAACCAGAATCTTTCATTACATTAACAATACTACATGAAAGATAAAATAAAAGATCGAATAAATAAACAAAATCGACCTTCTGTTTTATAACAGTCCGAGATATATATGATTCATCTAACAAACATCTTTAAATAAGGAGCATCATCTTTGGTGTAAAAAGTTACGGCCTCCCCGGATTTACCAGCTCGACCCGTTCTACCGATTCGATGAATGTAACTTTGCACCGATTGCGGGAAATCATAATTTATCACCAAATTTACTCCTTTAAAATCCATACCACGCGCCATCAATTCCGTAGATATCAGGACCCATATCTTGCCTTGACGAAAGCTTAAGACTACCGCATCTCTCTGCGTTAAAATCAATGTTAAATTTTCGAAAAAATGTCGATTGTATGCGCATACAGAACAAATTTTACGTCGAAACGAACCTGGGCCTTAGTCCTTTCTGAATGAATCACATCTACGTTAATACCGTCGTAAATCAATTCATGGAATAATTCTTTTGCTCTCTCAATCGATTGAACGAATATTAAAACTGGAGGTTTTAACCCTCCCTGTTGAATTAATTGTCTTATGGCAATCAACTTTCCTTCCTCCTGACCAACGTATACAAGTTTTTGTTTGATGGTATCGGTTGCCGCGTTTCTAATAGAATGACAAAAATAAAGTTAATAGAGTATACATGAATTTTTTTATTGCTGCAGGGAAGAACCATTACTTGAGGCCAATGACAACCCGAATTGGATCTTTCATGAAACTATTCGCTAGTGTCTCAACACCAGAAGGAAGTGTAGCGCTAAATAGCGATTTTTGCAATTTGGGGTTTGCACATGCAGCAAATATCTCATCAGTCTGCTCCAAAAATCCAAGTTCGAGGAGTTTGTCCGCTTCGTCAAGGATCAGGTGACGAACACTGAAAAGGAATTGTAAAATTATATTAGGTTTTAAAAGAAATATGTAAAGGGACAAATTCTTAAGTTAGAAAGTTACTTTTTTAGGTCAATGTTTTCTTGTTGAATAGCGCGAACAAGACGAAGAGGCGTGCTTATAAGGATATCTTGTAACAAATAATAATATCTTAGCAATAAAATCCTAAATTATTTTATGTATATGTACTAATGTCAAGGTACTTGAAATGAATAAAGTAGATATGAACCGAATTTTTTTCGGAGACGAGGATCTTGTGATTGCGTGGCAGCGGTTACTCTGGTGAGCGTACAGATCTTATAACTTTTACCGACACTCATTCTTTTGAAGTCTCGATATATCTTTAGACAAAGTATTCTTATGTTACTTGCGATATATCAACAGAAACACATTTTAATTCATCTATAGATTACCTGTTGTTCCAATTCTCTGGTCGGTGAAATTATCAATGCACGATAACCAACTTTCTCTGGTCCTTTTAAATCATGTAATATTGGTAATATATATGCCAAAGTTTTTCCGGATCCTGTAGGTGCCATGGCCATGATATCACGTCCCTTGAATATAATTTGAAGATTTTAATAAATTTTTTGAAACTTCATTCACATAATAAAAGCTATAGTTCGTACGTGCAGCATAGTCGGCACCACTTGCATCTGAATCGGTGTAGGCTGATCGTATGCCATAGATTCTAAATTGCGGATAATATACGATTGGAAATCATATTTTGTCTCGAGTTCACTGAAAGATCGAAGTGGATCAGGAATGTCGGTGCCGTACACGCGAATTTGATGACGTTTTCTAAAAACCTTGACCTGAATATTTTTACGGTTAAATTTTAACTTGACATAATGATTTGATTGATACAAGTGTTTTTTTATGAACTCAGTGATATATACAAACATCTTCGTGGATAGCAATCTCGTTAGATCTTATGAACGAGGATTTGTGTTCTTTTTCGTTTTCATCACTATTACTTTGTGCTATTTGATCTAAAGGCATTGTAAGAAATTAAAAGTTAAAATTTGTAAATATAAAAAGTTCATGGTCATAAAAACAAACCTTCCGAGAAATTTACTATTTGTTCTTCCGTTTTCGTGTGTTTTGTTCCCAAGACTTCATCAGTAGCACGCTTACTGTTGTGAAAGAAATCGATTTCTTGGATCAAATTCGTTTGCGAATCTGGATCTTTTGTCTCTTGGGTAGACGTAGGCTAATAATAATTAATACCAAGGTTAAAATACTTAACGTGTACGATCACCAGATATGGATTAAGTGAGGTGACGCTAACCTCAAAGAGCCCGATGTCTTCATTAAAACGTTTCTTGTTGAATTTTGCACCAGTACCAAGAATTCGAAATAAATCCATTAATTTTACAAGTGATTCTTGTGCGAATTAAACTAAAAAAAATTTTGTGTTACCAGATGGATTTACAATCTTTAAATACACGTGTTAAACAATGCAATATTAATAATTAAATCTCTATTTGCTATTGCTATTTATTTTACTGATTGTTAGTCCGGAACGAAGTGTAGGACTATATATGTTTATGCAAGGTGACACAAAGGTTGTCACGTGCTGTCTGGATGTCTGTCCGGCTGAATATGATTGGTTCCCTGTTACTAGTCACGTGAGTCAAATATAGTTAAGTCTGGAGATCGACAAACTTATATAACAAACGGCAAACTTAATATAAATGTAAACGTCATGCCATTTTGTATCACATAGCCTTTATTTCAAATATGAAAATTCACCTATCCATCTTATATCAAAAGAATTTAAATGTTCCTTGATAATTTCGTGTCACGTTAAAATCAACATGTGCAACCTTTCTTCTTCAGCCTTTCGTTCTTGAAATCTTTTGTATTGTTTTATATGTTGGAGCTTGTTGAAGGTAAACTGTCTAAGACAAATATTGTTGAGCAAACAAACTTATAATAATGCAATAAAGATTAGACCGGCTGCAAACTTCTTGTTTCCAATATCAATTTTTGTCTTTTTTAAGGTTAAACCCTGGCTCTTATAAATTGTAATGATCCATGCAAAACATATAGGTAATTGAAGATAAGAATATATCCTGTTTTTATTCTCCCATATCCATTTAATAAGTAATATTGAAACAACATTGTCACCTTCTGTGCTTGTAATAGGTCCATAATACTTATTAAATTTTATGAATATTATCAAGAGAAGTGCCGGAGGTTCCTGTTTCTTGAATATAATGTCTTTGACAATTCCTATTGATCTATTAATAAGCCTTGCTTTAATCTATAGGTTCGTTGTTAATATAATTCGACAAGATTTCACCAATAATAATTAAATTTTGAATTCCTTTGTGATATCAGAATTGACATGTTTGGCCTCCTTTCCTCCAGTATGTATAGCACATATTTTAGCTATTGGACTATTTAATTTTCTAAAAATTTCTATATTGCTTCTATCTACATCTGTCTATTTTAATAGTATGAAAATGGCATCAAGAAATTAATCATATTCTATTTGGTTTATATTTGTTTCGAATCATTTTGTAAAGGCTTTTCAATCGTCTAAATTGCTATTACTATTTCACAGTCTTAAGAATATATCTTGGAAATTTCGTTGTTCTTTGAATTCATTAAATTAATATTAGACAATGTCAAGTTTATAGATTTCACTGAATTCTTTGTACACTGCCAAGCCATTATTAGTTAATATATTACTTGATACTTTATTTGTGTACATAGGAAGATCAATAACTAGTGGAAGCTGTCTAAAGTCTTCTAATAGAATGATAGATTAATTTCTGAAAGGTTCATTTTTTTTTGAAGAGAATGCTTATCTTAATCTTATATCAATTAAGCCTAGCATTTGTTTTACCACCATGCCTTTCTTGTCGATTATAATGTATCTCATGTCTTGTAATCTTTCTTGAAGTTGCTTTAAGCAAATATTGTTCTTTGTTTGCAATATCTTTATTATTTTTGTTATTATGTGAAGCTTTGTGCACAAATTCGAAAGCATTTGTCAAATCTTTATTAGAATATTTTTGTTAAGTATTGTTTATTTAATTGTGATTGTAATCCATATTGCGTGATCCCAGTTTAGTTTCAATATTATCTATATGCATATTTGGTCATATTTCCACTAGATACATTCAATCCATTCTGAATTTCTTTTCCTCCTTGTCTGAAATTTTGTCAAAGCTTTCATTATCATTTATTTCTGTTTCATGCTTAACTTCTTGTTCTAGTAAATCGTTCGGATCAGAATTAATCGTATTGAGATGTTGACTATAAACTAATGACCAGATAAGGTATTTTCTATTAATTAATATATGCTTTGATGAGGGATATGAAGTAAAACCTTGATATGACAGAATTCCTCCCTCTGATCTCCATTTCAAACAGCTAATGGATGAGACCATATTCCAACTATATTTTTTTTTATATATCTTTTCCAATGTCTGTTAGTATATTTGTGAGTAAGAAATAGTCTAAATAGTAAATATTCTTTGAGCTGTTCTGTTCAATTCCAGTATTTCTGTAAAGGTGATTTAGAAGTTCTATCGGCATTTGTTATTATAGTAAGATCTTTATTATTTTCTCCTTTACCTGTTTCACGTATCCACCACTAGTCGAAATGGATTTATTCGGCATAATGCCACTCGTCAATCATTTGTCAAAAAAGTATATAATTTGGCTAATC